ATTTGGTAAACTGACTTGAAATGGCATAGTGTAAACAGTCCCTGCTTGTCAATTTTATGTCTCTCTGGTTTCCTTTTATTGGTATACGTTCTCTGACCTCTGAACTCTACTCTGTTCTTTCTCCTTTCTTGCTTGCTTCTGTTCTCACTCTGGATTCTTTTATTCCTGAACACAGACAATTGACTTCTCTGCTGCTCTAATCATTTCTGCTTCAACTCATAGAAGAAGCCATCAGAAACCGTCTTTGAAGAGAACGGCCTATGTACCCAATAGTATGGAGTTTCCCTTTGAATCTTGGGTGACATTAAAACTTTAGGGAGGAGAAGACAGAAAGAAAATAACTGAATATATTTCCTTTTCCTCTCCATAAGAGTCTAGAATTTCTTTCCCTTCCAGCCCCTGATCTCTTCTCTACCTGTGAAGGTGAAACATGCTGTATTTGATGATGGGGGTCAGGGAAGGAGTACATGAAGCTGAGAAGTGGATGTGCTAGGGGAACCCAGGGGAGTTGAAGAGGAAAAATTGGAGTGGATATGGCCACATTTCACTGTATTTGTTTATAAAATTCTCAAAGAATAAATTATTGAAAAAGAAAAAGGAAGAGGTGAAGAAGTTGGGAGAGGGATATGTTGGGAGGTCCTGGGGGAGTTGAAAGTGGTGGGGGGAGTAGGTAGCATCTAAATACATCGTACACATGTATGACATCCTCAAAGGATAAATCATACACAGACACATAGACATACACAGACAGAGACAGACAGACAGACAGACACACACACACACATACACACACACTGCCCAGCAAAAATTCTAGGCATGGAGTAAATAAATGCTCCATTAACATTTACTGAGTGAATAAATGAATAGGAATACATACAAATAATGAAAGAAGCCCTTGAAGTTGTGTTTGATTCCAGGCACTCAAGGGGAAAAACAAGTAAAGCCCAGAGAGAGAGAGAAAGAGAGAGAGAAAGAGAGAGAGAGAGAGAGAGAGAGAGAGAAAGCTCCACCTACCTCACTCTCACTCTTTGCTTACTAAAAAACTCCGTGTTCCATTTCTCAGCCAAGGCAGAAGGTGACACTGAAGCCCAACCCTTCCCTTTAGGGACCTTGGCAACCAGATCTGCCTGTGAGACTCAAAGACAAGCACTTAGTTGTTTAGTTAGGAAACATGGTGCCATAGCAGAGCTTCCAGGGAGACAACTAAAGCAAGAAGGCCGAGGGTCAGGTGCAGAGCGAGGGCGTCTCTGTGAGAACTGCCGTCCAGAAGTCAAAGCAATGTGGCTCGCTCTTTGGTGCCACGAAAAGGGACAAGGTGGCCAGATCAGAGAGCAACATGGACGCAGGTGGGAACTCTCCTCTGTAGACCAGGTTTGCCCAACCAGCTGTTTGCATCTTATTTGAACACTACTAGGACAGGAAATGATGACTATGATTTCAGGGTAATTAAATCCAACTGTCAACTCCCCCTCTTTCTCCTTCCCAGATGCTGCTTCCAGGACCAATCTTGAGGTTTCACTCAGGATCTTAAGGGGTGGGTGGGATTGCGATGCTAGCAGAAGCTCGTGAGGGGGCTCTTTCAGGAGCTCCCTGGGGAGTGGTTCCAGTAACTGAGAGTCCGTGCCCATTTCCACTCACTCGCTTGTCTACTGCCAAACCATCCATTGGTATTTATTTATTCCTTGCCTATTTGACAGGACTCCATACACACACAGTTGCTCACATACACAATTAATCAGGCAGACTATTTCTGATTCGTGGTTTAACCTTGCCCTGCACTTAAAAGGTCTGGGTCCCAGAGCCCCATGGCTGTCTTTCATGGTTTCCTAGCAACCAAATGAGACAGGGAAATGTGCACAGTTGCATCACCACAAGATGTTAGGTCAATTAATATTCATTAACAGTGCCTGTGTTTGGCTGCTGGGAGATGTTATAGAGGGGAAAAAAAAACCGATCTGTGCTGTTGGCGTGGGGGGTGGAAGGAAATAAGGGATGCCTGACTGTGTGTATCATCATGTTCTGAAGATATGTATAGTGGCCTGTCTGCATATACTCAGGCAAATCAAGAAAAATTATTGTCGTATTACAATTATCTTTCCATGATTATTATATGAGAACATATCTCAGGAACAATGAGATCGTTCGACTCCCAGATATTTATCACGTCCATTCAAGACACCTAAAATCAACTCACTAGTAATTATTTTATTCATTCTATATTCTTGAAGCTCTTTTGTGTGGTTAATGTGGGAAACTTGGATGTTGGAAAGATAAATAAAAGACACACAAGGACTAAAAGAACCCCCAAAGTTTCCAAGTACTCATTACATAAAGACAAAATTGCTAAATTTGGGGTATGTGTTCTCCTCTAGAGATAAAATGCACACAGCCACACACAATCTTAGAAAGATACTATCGTTTTCTACACAGTGCTTCGTAGGTTACACTTCACAATCTGCCACTGTTACCATGAACATTTTCTCATGTCTGTAGTATCATTTTTATTAGATGTGTAATTTCAGTGACGATGTTTCCCATGGTTCATTTAATAAAAGTAGCTTTTATTCATGCATTTAAGTTGTTTACATTCTTTTCTATTATTAATAAGACTGTAGTGAATGTCTCTGACACCTGGTCCAATTATTTCCTTAGAACTAATTCCTAGAAATGGAAATACACATTTAAAGATCTTTCGTACACTCCTGTTTCCTTTAAGAACAACAAAGAAATGGTTTTAATTTTTGCCAACGGCTGAAATAAAAGTGTGGAGGCACTTTATAATCCTTTAAAATGACCTGGGGAAAACCATGATATTCCCAATATTTGATCAAAACTTCTTTTTATGATACACATACTAGAACCCTAAAAAGTTGAAGGTGAAGTCATGAGAGACAGAGAGAGAGAGAGACTTGAGGCTGCAGGAGACAGGCTTTTGTGGTGGCTAGGCCAAGTGCCTTCAGGCAATTTGTCCTTCATAACTCCACAATGCAGCCTGTAACCAATCCCACAGAGGCTCCCTGCAGTGAGGAAATGATCCACGTGGGCCTTCAGCGTCTTTCCTCAGTTTGTGTTCTGGACAGAATCTCTCCAGGCAAATAAAACTGGGGAGGCAAGTCACTTATACCTGCTTTGTAGGTCTGGCTAAGACCAGAAAGCAGCTGCTACCCTGAGGCGTCCTGTAGTGTTCCAGTTTGGGCCGGTTACCTTTTGACTCCTGGGTGACAGAAGGTTCTTCCTGCTTTCAAGCAAGCTAGAAAGGAGCAGGAGACATTCGGCTCTTGCGCTGGTTAATTTTTGTCATCTTAGCACACACCTGTAGATTTCCATGGGAAGTGAGAACCTCATTTGAAGAACTGCCTCCATCAGATTGGCTGTGCTGTGAGCATGTCTTTGAGGGATTTTCATGTTCATTGACGTGGGTGGGCCCAGCTCCAGGTGGGCAGTGCCACCGCTTGGCAGGTGGTCCTGCATGGTATAAGAAAGTAAGCTGAGCAAGTCATGTCTAACAATCCAGTAAGCAGGATGCCTTCATGACCATTGCTCCAGATCTTGCCTCTGGCTTCCCACCTTAGCTTCTGAGGATGATGGACTGTAGAACTTTCTTCTCCAAGTTGCTTTCGGCCATGATGTTTTATCACAGTGATAGAGGGCAAGCTGGAACAGTTTGAAAACTAGTCCTGGCCCAGGATGATCAAGTTCAAATTAAACTTCTGAGTCAATGGAACCAGCAACCATTGGCAACCACTGGGCCAGACTAGGAAAATAACATGATCTGGGAGAAATGAGTAGACTTTGGCAAGCTCTCATGGTTTGGAATACGGATGAGCAGCGGTGTAGGTCAGTGGTCCTCAAACTATTGTCAATGGACCAGCAGCTGAATTACCCAGGAGCATCTTGGACCCTTCAAGCCTACTTAGCTGGTATCTCCAGAGGCTAGTCCAGGAATAGAAGAGGCCAGGAGTGGATATCCCAACAAGTTGACATGCTGATGTAGAATGCAGGGACCGTGGCTTTGTCTGTCACCCTCCATGACACTGAGTCTTTTCTCTCTCAAATGTGTCAAGACAAGTAGGTGGAATGCTTTTTGATGTAACTGTTTCCTCCTGGGGATAATCAAATCATCTAAGTAAAGTGGTGTGTGTGTGTGTGTGTGTGTGTGTGTGTGTGTAGTGTGGCCTGATTTTTCATTTCCCTTCTGCTGCGTCTTACCTGGATGATAAATATACAATTCATTGGAAACAAAAGCCCTGAATAAAAACCAGCTAATGATGTTTATTGGGAAGTCCACTGGGGAATGGATCTTGAAGCTCCCTAAGGAGCTACATGACAGCCCCCAGCAGATGATAGATTTCCCAGATGAACTGAAACTAGTTCCTCACAGTCAGAAGAACAAAGGAATTGTGACTTTGGGTTGGGGCTGGTGTGGATTTGTGACTTTCTGTCTTATTGCACTGGAAAATGCCCATTCTAATTTAAAGTGTTTCTTCTCTCTTAAAATTAATTGGTTGAGTCAGGCAGTGGTGGTGCCCAGCACTCAGGAGGCAGAGGCAGGTGGATCTCTGTAAGTTCAAGGCCAGCCTGGACTACAGAGTTCCAGGACAGTCAAAGATACACAAAGAAACCCTGTCTCAAAAAAAAAAATTAAATGGTTGAGCTTATGGTTCAATAAAACTTCACTTCTCTAGGTTTTAAAGACTATTCAGGATTTATCAAATTACTGTGTACATTTTGTTTGTGGATATTAGTGCACCTGGATTTGAATCCAGGCTTTTGTATTAGTGTCTGGTCACTCTGGACAAGTCACTTAATCTCTCTCTCTCCCTAAAGCCCATGAATGGGAACCTTATGGCTGTTGCTATGTAGTTCTGCTGTAACACTTCTGTGTGCTAGCGTGTGCCAAGTGCTGAGCATGCAGCTTGGCATGTGTTAGTCCTGATCACTATTCCAGTCTTTTCTACTCAGACCGAGACTCACGTGACTCCTGTGCAACTCAGCCTTGCCGGGAAGAGGGCTCAAATCTCCTTTCTGTGCCATTTCTGCAGCCGGATCCAGCTGCACTGGGAGCTAACTACCTCTGATTTGTTTACAAGGTAACTGCTTTCTCTCTTTCCATCTCCCTCTCCCTTCTCTCCAATTTCCATTTCTTTTGTGAAATGGTTAAAGTGCTTGACATAATTAGCTGTTAATTGTTAGCAGCTGTACCCATTATCAGTTTAATGCCTAATTAATTGTAACAATTAATGCTGCCTGTCCTGTCTTTGGAACTGTTGATGAGGGAAGGCTGGTGTCATTGAAGTTATATCTTAATTAATTTACCTCCAAATTTCAGCATTTAAGTAAGATCCTGAGTCAGGGCTGTTTTCCTCGTATAAGCCATAGGTGAGCAGAGGGACGCAGTGCAGATGGCCTGGCCTGGGTCTGCCCTGTGTAGGCTGAGTATCTCGTGAAGTCAGCCTCCACCATCAGGAAGTAGTCACCCGGCAGCTCCTGGCCATCCTGCTGCGTGGCAGGGCCTGCCACAGATGCTCTTTTCGCTGGCTTTCCTGAACTTCCTGGGGTTGCAAAAATCATAAGACAAAACACAGCGAGAGCCCGACAGTATTCAGGCCTGTACTGGAGTCAGCAGTCCATGGTGGATGACGTATTTGGCACCTGCTCTGGGTTGAGTATCTGTGAAGGAAGACCATATGGGTCAGGATTGTATCTTCACTCTCAGAAGGATGGCTAACCAACTACTAGAGATAAAACCGAATAGGATAAGTTTATCTCCTACTTTCTAGCATCTCCTGTGAGCCAGCCAGGCTTGGTGCTCCATGCTGCATACACTTGGTTTCTGGTTCTCACAGTAACTTTGACAGCAAGGTATTGTTGCTTTTCTTGCTTCATTTCCCAGACGAGGAAACCAAGACTCATTGAGGTTAAGTAACTGCCGAATGATGAGGGCTATAGCTCACATCTACCTGATTCTGGTTCTATATTAGGCTGGTCACTGTCCACAGGACCTCGTCCTGCATCTGAAAGGCTGGGTGAGTCATCCTGCTGTGTTCTGAGGTGTGATCATACCACGTGGTACTCAAGTGTGTAGGAGGAAGGGAAAGATCTCCCTTTATACTGAGAAGGTTTGCTGGAAAGAACTGACAAAGGATTGATTAATGGTATAAGTGATACTCAGATTGACTAATGTGTAAAGGGCAACCACAAATGTGATGCCCCCTCAGGCCAGCAAGGTTCAGAAACTTCTCGCAAGGGATGGGGGCTTGGAAATGTGACTTTGATAACAAATGACGTTAGGAACACTAAGTGGAGAACACGCAGGGACCTGGGAGAAAGTCTGTTGTGCCACAGAGTAGATAAGTTGAAATGGTTCTCTTAGGAATACTGAAAGGGACCAGAACAGAAGCTCCTGAAGAATGGCCAAGTCTGTCCAAGTGTGTGGGCTCTTTAGTCTTTCTTTCTGCGACAGGGGCTGATGAAACCTCAGGCAAAGGCTAAAAGATAATGGCTCTCTTTTTTGGCAGAAGCAGATTTCAGGTAGATAAGGAGGGGAACAGCCTCCAGTGGATGTGCTCTCTACCTGCCTTTAATCTAAATTATTAACACACTAGGGCACCACATTTTGGGGTGATAGTCCCTGGATTCCTTCAGAGGACTAACTTACTTGTAAAGCATTAGAACGTGGCTATGCTCCTTTGGGAATCCTGTTGCCAACCAGCATAGTAAGAGGAAATGAGGTGGACTTGGCTGTGCTATAGGAAGGCACAGGCTGAGGAAAACAAGGAGGGCCTGGCCTGATGACACACACCTGAAGTCCCAGCTCCTTGGGAGGACTAAAACAAAGGGCTTGGAAGTCCAAGCCTGCATAAGCTATAGAACAAGTTCAAGGCTAGCATGGTCAGCTTATAAATAACTTGACTCAAAATGATTTTTTCTTATTTAAAGCTTTGTTGGGGGGAGGGGAAACTCCAAAATTAAAAAAAAATTACATACCAAAATTAACCAGTCAAAACATATACATCCCAGTGAACTTCTGAACAGCCAGCAGAGCTATTCTGAAGCTGTGAAACTTCACACACCAAAATTAACCAGACTCAGAGTCAATACATACACATCCCATTGAAGTTCTGTACAGCTAGCAGAGTGTTCTGAAGCTGTGGAGCTTCACATTAGATTGTTTTTAGCATCCTTCACTGAGATGCCTTTGGGAAAGTAAACAATTTTGACTTTATAAGTTTGCTCAAGTTTCTGCTCCTAGCCCAGTTCTGGAGTTGGGGGGGAGGGGGGTTCCTTTCTCTTCCGACGTCTTCTCAATTTCCCCTGCACTAATATCCTGCCTCAACTTTATATGGAAAGTAAGCACTTCTCATATGTGATTAAGGATCTTGAGATATAGAGATTATCCTAGATTATTGGAGTGAGACTCAAAATGCAGTCACATTTCCTAAAACGGAGACAGAAGATGTAATAGCAGAAGAGGAACATGACCACCCGGCAAAAGTGTGCTCAGGAGCTTCCGGAAGCCACGTCAGGCCAGAAAATATTCTGCCCTAGTCTCTGGAGGGAACAGGTTCTATCAACACTTATTTAAGCCATGATACTGATTTGAGTCTTCTGGCCTCCCGCACTCTCTCACTCTTTGAAGCTGTGAAGTTTGTGACAATTTTCTGGAAGAGCCACAGAGAATTAGTGCAACAAATTTAACTTTTCCTTGTTATAATTTATTTGCATCATCCAAAGCAGAGAAACCAAATAAAAGAATTAGTCATGAGTGCTGGAGATTTCTTTGGGTAAACATGTAACTCGTTGTATAAATATAGTGACTTGGGGAGTAATTTAGAGTTAAGTCTGAATGCATATTGAAGACTATCCCAGTTTAGCATAAACTATACATACTTCCATGTAGTATGTGTCTGTGTGCGTGTGCGTGTGTGTGTGTGTGTGTGTGTGTGTGTGTGTGTGTTAAAATGAGCCTAGATTTGGGCACTCATGAACTGACAAGATGACCTTACAGAGCAAGAGACCAAGCTCGTTCTGTTGAATGGCTCCAGTGTGCAGGCCTCATCATGATGGTCCAAAATGGCTGCCAGAGCACTTAGGTTTCACAGTTGAGTTCCAGAAGCAGGAGGAAGGAGGAAGGAAGGACACACCCCCGTACTCACACTTTCATTAATTTTATTTTTTATTGAAATTATATTTTTTCATACAATGCATTCTGATTATGGTTCCTCCTCCTTTATCTCTTCCCAGATACTCTCTGCCTCCCAACCCATCTAACTCCACAACTTTCTTCCTCTCTTTAGAAAACATACAAACTAGAATTTAAAAAAAAAAACAAAGAAAAAGCACAAGAAATACATACACACAAACAAAACCTATAAAAATAAAAAATTTGGAAGCCATAACATACAAGTCAAAGACCAGTAATAAAAATGTCCAAACAAAGCCATATGAGGCAAAAGTACAAAAACATCATTGAGTTTTCTTTGTGTGACTGCTGGCCATGACCCAGCCTTGAGTACAGTTTATATGTCCTGTAAGACTCCACTAGAGAAACTAATTTTTCCTTTGAGTGGTGGTCACTTGCAGATAGCTCTTGGCTAGGGATGGGAACTCATGCCCACTCCCCCATCTCAGTGTACAGGTCCTGCGCACGCTGACGCAATCTCTGTGAGTTCATATGTGAGTTAGTCCTGCTGTCTGGAAGACACCGTTTGCTTGTGTCATTCATCCACTCTGGCTCTTCATTCTTTCTGCCTCCTCTTCCACATAGTTCCCTGAGCCCTGAGGGGAAGACTTGATGAAGACATCCCGTTTAGGACTGAGTGTTTCGAGGTCTCACACTCAGCACAGTGTCCAGTTGTGGGTCTATGTTATTTCCCATCTACTGCAGAGGACGCTTCTCTCATGATAGCTGAGAGAGACGTGGGCCTATGGGTATAGAAGAATGCTGTTGGGTATCATTGCATTGGTGTGTTCGTTTAGTGCAGTGGTTTGCAACCTTCCTAATGCTGCAATCTTTAATACAGTTCCTCACGTCATAGTGACCCCAATCACAAAATTATTTTTGTTGCTATTTTATAACTGTAATCTTGCTACTGTTATGAATCATAATGCAAATATTTGTATTTTCTGATGTTCCTAGAAGACTCCTGTGGAAGGGCCATTTGACCCCCAAAAGGGTTGTGATCTTCAGGTTGAGAACAGCTAGTATACAAAGCTTCCTGGGTATTTCTCATACATGTCTGCTTAGGTCTCTGAGGTTAGAAATTAATTCCCTGGTGACAGTCTTGCAAAGCATGGTTATTGATGCACTGTTTTACCTGTGTGACCAGGCAGCCAGCTAAAACATCAGGTTCAATGACTAGAAAGAAGAGGAAATAGACATTTATATGCAGCTAGCCCTTTCTGTCCTGCCTGCCAACTGTTTAAGTTGCTTACAGTTTAGTCAGCAAGGTCGAGGGAGAAGGATTGGATCGTAATTCATAGTTGTATGTATTTTGTTTTGTTTATATAAGAAAACCTTACCTGGAGTAGATTTTGGCTTTGGTAAGGCAACATGAGCCTGATGTTAGTTTATAAACTGGAAATGACCCAGGAAAAAGTGAGTCAAATGGTTTGGATCTGAAATTCACATAGACTAGGAAAGGAAATGAGTTTTTCTGGTGTTTTCTAATTTATGTATTTCACGAAGGATAAAAAGACATGTTTCCAGATAAAATCAAGGCCGGTCCTGTGGCTGTGAGCCTGAACCACCTCCATGAGAAGACAGAATGGGAATGGGGTGAAAAGGAAGCCAATTTAGCTTACTATGAGCAAAAAGTTGGGACAACCACTTCCAGATAGGCCTTCCTTTTCAGACTGGAGAGTGGGCCTTGGCAGTGTACTGGGCCAGATGACTTCCTTCTGATCACATAACTCAGTAGGGAGTCAGGGGAGGCCCCTAGGAGCTTGTCAGAGATCACAGTGGAAGACGAAGCGCTGTGGGGATCTGTGTCTAATTAAGAGCCAAATGAATGAGGCTGTCAGGGAGGGAGAACTTTCCATACCCCTGGGAAACAAAGAGGTGATTGTTCCTGGGGTAAGGACTGGCGGTCTGTGCCAGCATGCCAAGGATGGGATGCAGGGGGTGGGCTTAAGCTGAGCCCCAAATATGGAGAACTGTATTTGGGCAGGGACCAGGAAAATGGAATGGCAGGGCCTCATTTTATTGGACTATAGAGCAGGCCTGGAGTGGGCGATCAGCCAGTTCCCATCTTCTGAGACAGTTCTGGCAATCTGAGGTCCCTGGGGTCAAAGGCAGGGGTCAGGGGTCAGAAAGAGGTCAGCATCCTCCCCGCCCCCTTTTTGAGGACATGTATATGGAAGGAAGCTCTGAAGTGTTTTATGGACTTTTGTAGACATTTCTTTGAGAGGCTGTGGTGCAGTGCATGGTGGTCGGCTGGGGTTTCCAAAGCTGTTTGAGTCACGGACTCTGTTGTGAGGCGGTTATAAGTGACACATGCAGAAGGAACACCTCTTAAGCCAGTGGCTTCCCCTTCTGTTCTGCAAAACAATCACTTTATTTCTGCTGAAACCAAGGAGAACACACAGAGAGCACAGCACATGCCAAGGCTCTGTCTTAGCAATGGGTGATGTTGCGGGAATGTCTACATGCCACTCTAACTTGAGCAGTCAAACTTGGGATCTGTATAAACAGAAATTGATGGTTTGGGACTGGAGAGGTAGCTCAGTGGGTGAAGCGCTTGTCTTAAGCAAGCAAACAAACAAAAACAAAAGCCCCGGTCTGGTGGCATGTGAGTGTAACCTCAGCACTGGGGTGGTAGAGGCAGACTCCTGGAGCCCACTGGCTGGCCAGTCTATCATACTTGGTGAGTTCCAGGCCAGCAAGGAATCCTACCTCAACAAAAGTAAAACAAACCCCCCACATAAACCAAAACCAAAAGAGCTTGAGGAATGATACCTGAGGTTGACCTCTGGCCCCTGTACATATGCATTTAAGAATGCATGCAAATCCACATGCATACACATGTGAGAATGCACACATAAAGAAATAAAAGAGAAATGGGTGACTTCTGTCCTTACAGTCTCTTCCCCCACCTCTCTCTTTCCTCTCCCCTTCCTTTTTCCTCGGCTTTGATTCTTACTGGTCTTGGCTGGCTATCCTGCTTCAGCCAAGCAGCGTCTGAAGAGATGCTTCATGCAACTCCAGTTCCAACTTGCAGCTCGCATCCCAGCCCCTGTGCTTTTGTATCTGCTCTGTTCTTCAGCCAGATACCAGCTGCCTCTGAGACAATTGCCCCAATTCAGAGGGTCTTTGGAAATAGGAAAGTCCTTAGCAGGGAGCATGTAAGCCAGGCCCAGCATGGTTCTCAGGGCCTGCCATGCTTTCCTTTTTCAGCTACCCAGGAGTCTGGGAAGGTTAATTTGTGTGTGTGTAGCCAGGCATCATGCCAGTGTTTCTGGATGGAGGTGCCAGGGTCCTTTAAGCAGTGGTTTCTTTCAAGCCCTGGGCAGGAATTTAGTCATGGAACATCCGGCCTGCTCCCAGTCTACCCACAATGCTTCTTGCCTTGCTCTGATCTGAACCTTAGACCACTTTAGCTCTTGACCAGTTGTTTTCAACCTGTGGGTTGAGAACCCTTTGGGATTGACAAATGATCCTTTCACAGGGGTTGCCTAAGACCATTGGAAATATCAGATGTTTACATTATAATTTATAACAGTAGGAAAATTGCTGTTATGAAGAAGCAACAAAAATAATTTCATGGTTGGGGGTCATCACACCATGAGGAACTGTATTAAAGGGTTGCAGCATTGGAAAGGTTGAACCCCTGCCTCAGAGAGATGCTGTCCTTTAAGCTGAGAGCCAGAGATGAGCAGAGCAGAGCATGGTGGGAACATTGAGAGCCACTGCCTTAGGGCCAAGTTCCTTTGCTTGGCATGTGTTAGCTGCCAGATTAAGGCCTTCAGTCTCAGCCTCCCTTGGGAATCTTCCCAGCAACAGCAGCTGAGACCTCTCCCAGTAAAGGCCATTTCACAGATGCGGAGCAGGTGCTCTGCCATTCTGATCAGGTCTTGCAGGACTATTACCTTTTCACCTTGTCAGAAACAAAACAAAAACAACAACAACAACAAAAATGCCACTGGGGATCTTTTTTCCACTCGCAGGTCAGACCAAGACATAGGAATTAAAAGGCTCTGCAAAGATTCACTGAGCAAAGGAGGTGTCGGTAAGACTTGGCTTTGAAACTGTCTGTGCATCGTTCCTCTCACTCTGACCTGCAAGAATCAAGATTCCTAGCAACGGGCAGCAAGGGCTGGTTCTAGGTGTTTGGGCATGAATGGTTAATAAGGGAATGTTGGGTGTCTCGCGGTGCCAGGGGAGCCTGGAGGAATAGGTTGGAGGCTGCACACTCATGGTAATGCTCCATTACAGACTGCAGAGCTGGCCTAATGAGGACACTGCTGCGGCCGCTACCACTGCCAGCTGGTGCCACATTCGTGTCCCCGCCAGGAACCTGATCATCTCTACCACTGTTGCCTTCAGGGTGGACGCCACATCTGGCCCGGCAATGCCACCCTGTCATCCTGCAACCCTTCTGCCACCCGCTTTCATCTTAGCTACAAAGGAGCCAGAAAAGTGGCTGCTCTTGCTTCCATCGTGGGAAGGCAGAATTCATAGTGTGTGTATGTGGGTGTGGGTGTGTGGGGGGGTCCTGTCACACCAGGAAGGTGTGGAAGAGGTGCCAACCAGACAGACAAATTGACAGCTGCCTTCTACACCAGCATTTCATGAGGAAGTGGGTGTTATTGTTTCCTTTGGTAATCCTGCTTAAGAGGGGTGATGTTGGAACTGTGTCCTCGGAGGGACATTATGCAGGAGGTAAAGCCTTCAGAGCCAGGACTTGGTAGGGAGTGCCAGTTCTTAGTACAGCAGTGGGGGACTAGTGGGTGTGCCAGGAGGGTGCAGTGACCGTGTCTGATGTCTTTCCTATCCGTATCTACAGGGACAGTTGATGTCCTGGCCCCTTCGCCTCTGAATTTCAAGACTCAGTTAACCAACTACCCAGAGTACATCTGCTCTAAAGTTGTCTGAAGAAAAATGCTGGCCGCACATCATTCACCTAGAAGGAATTTAAGAGAAGGTATCCAAAGGAGTCCCAACATAGACCTTAATCAGCTAATGTCATCGCTTTAAAAACCACTTTCTGCCCGGTGTTCCCAGCAAGATCCGGTTTGTATAGAGCCTGGCTTGGAGTCTGGCCTGCTGGATACCTAATACAGGTTTCCAAAAATAAAGCTGACATTTGTTGAATACCATGTGGTGTGTCAGGCATTGTACAGGGGCTTTGCATAAATTATCCAAGTAATCCTTGTGAAAACACCAGGAAATAGGAGTTGTTATTACCTCTATTTTACAGTCGAGAAAACTCGAGCTAAAGAGGATAACACAGACACCTGCAGCGATGCTTACTCCGTGGATAGCTGAACTGGCATTTGAACCGGAAGTCTGACCTCAAGGCCATGTTGCTAAGCAACCTCTCCAGGATCTGATTCTAGAAAAATATTTGAATCCCCACGCGTGAGGTTTGAATTCACCTTTGCTCTCTAGGGTTCAGTCTAAATCAAAGTTAGAACACGCCCTGCCATGTAGGGATATCTGTTAGTTCTCACACACAAACACTCTGAGAGGACACGGTGGCCGCCCCTCTCTGGGTTACATGGCTCACTATCCTTGCATGCTTCTGTCTGCAGCTCCTAACTTCTGAGCAAAAGATGACCCATGTGCCAAGGGGCCAAGACTCATGGCCAGATTTTTCACCCTCTGTGGAAAAATGCTCAAGTGAGGGGCAGAATCTGTCTGAGGCCGGAAGAGAAGAAAGATTCTGGAAGATTAACAGAGAGAGGGGTTGTGGGTGTGTGATTCAGCTTTAACTCCCTCTAACACATACATGACTGAGAATCACCTTACAGAAAGGGAAGATTTATTTTGACTATAGGAGTTTGGAGGTGCTGGTCTGTGACTGGTGAGTACTCTGCTGTTAGTGCCCGTGGTGAGGCAGCATCTGAGGGTGGGAGTTGGCAGCAGAGAAAAATTGCTCAACCACTGGCCACGGTAAGAAAAAAAGAGGAAGAGGACCAACTGGATCCTTGCCCACCCTCCGCCCACAGGACAAAGCTTCCTGATGATCGAAGACCTATCATTTGGTCCCACACTCACCTTCTAATAGTGAAGTATTGGTCTGCCTGGTGGCCAAGCCTTTAACACAGAGGAAATACCAAGGAGGTGGTCGCAATAAGGTCTGGAGACTTTCCTATAAATCTCTAAGGACAAGACAGATGATGGAATTTGCTGTCAGTCTGGTGGTATAAAATATAGCAAGGAGTTTAACTGGGTATGGTTGGAACAATGACCACCGAGGCACTTCTAAGGAGGCTGGAGAGTACCCTCAGGCTCTGAGAATCTTCTTTCTCCAAACATTGCCTGCCACTGGGTTTTATGGTTTGTTTTAAGATGTTTACCGTTCCAGAGTTTCCAAGAACAAAAACTAACTGGAGTTCCTACAAGTAGCCTGTGTTTGTTTTTTGACCTGGATGAATGAGTCTTATCTTTGGAACAGCCAGGATTTTGGTGGCCTCTCTGAGGTCTGGTCCTGTATACAGTTGGGACAGGCAGTCCAGAGAGGTGAACTCCTTGGCCAGTAGGTAATGCTGGCCAATTAATGATAATGCACCATATAATCGCATATCAGTTACCCTAGGATACATGATAATGCACCCATTGCTTCTAGTTGGTGTTTGCCACGGGCTCATAGAAGGGGTTAAGTAAACTCTATAGACACTAAAAGTCATCCGGAAAGGAGGCACAGTAACCAATAAGGGTGGGCAATGCTAGGATGGTGGAAGTTAGTGGTGGAGATGGTAGGAATGACGGTTGTCTGGAGTCAACATGGTCCCTTGGGGAAGCTTTCCTTTCGAGTCTTTCAGTAGACTTTTGCTAAGCATTTAGGATACAGCAGGGTGTGTTAAAAACAGAAATGAAGAGTGGGCTAGATAGTCCCTAACCTCTAGTGAATGTAGCTGAGTGGAGGAGACAATGACTCGACATTACAATGTAGTTTGAAAGAACCCAATGAGGTGTTTTCAGGTACTGTGGAAGACAGATGGAAGCCACGAAACACTGAGTTGGGGAATGGAAAAGAGATGTCTAAGCTAAAGCATGGAGTAGGGATTGTCCAGGGGAAAGAAAATGTTATTAACTGACTATGTCTCCTCATGCTCCTACCTTGAACTTGAAGGTGGAGACTTTTGAAAAGGGATTACTAGGCCATGAGCAAAGAGACCACTTAAACAAAATCATTATCTTCATGAAAGACCTCGAGGAGTTAAGCAGTCCTTTTGCATGGAAGAATCTAGCAAGAGGTTGTGCAAAAACTAGGAAGCCAGTTCCCAACAGGCTTTGGTTTGGGAAGCATATCAGTCAAGGGCTTTCCAGTCATTGAGCCAACTATGAGAAATACCCTGATTTTACAGTTCTTCCAGTCTTCCTTTCCTTTTCTTTTCTTTTTTCAAGACAGGGTTTTTCTGTAGCTTTGGAGCCTGTCCTGGAACTAGCTCTTGTAGACCAGGTTAGCCTTGAACTCCCAGAGATCCACCTCCAAATGTCGGGATTAAAGGCATGTGCCACCACCGCCCGGCTTCTCCCTGTCTTTCTAACAGCATCTGAACTGATGAAGACAGGAAGTGAGGTGCAAGGGAAGTAGCCTTGGATAAAGAAGAAAAACACAGCTTCTTAATGCGCGTGAAACCAGCTCCCGGTGAGGTATGGGAACTCTAGAGGGAGGAGCAGTGAGAAGAGTTTGTCAAGGTAATTTGGGGCCTTGTAGGACCCGGCAAGCCAGAAACAGGATTTAGATTGTCTTGACACAACTTAAATCAAGCAGCTGGACCCATGCTGCTCAGCTTCTGTGTAGAGCTGTGAATAAGGAAGTAGGTGCCCCAGCTTCCACAAAGCAATCCAGATCACTATAAAGCAATCCAGATCACCATAAAGCAATCCAGATGACCACAAAGCAGTTCAGATCACCATAAAGCCGTCCAGATCACCATAAAGCAATCCAGATCACTTCAGATTTCAGGGACCCAGTCACAACCCAAGGTCAGGTGTCTCAGAAATCCCTCTTGATCTTCCCTGCCACCTCCCACAGCTCCTATGAGAGTATGTATCCGTCAATTCACGAGAAAAGCGATGCGACCAGTGGCGCTCAGGATCCTAACTTGAATTTCCCCAAGGAGCCATCACTCATTTGCCAATTCAGCATTCATGGAAACACTACAGAACACAACTCCCACATTTACCAAGGTCTGAATGGAGCAAGTATTCGACTGATAGGAACTCTGACTCCTTGTAACTGTCTCCAGGCTCAGATGTGGAGGTGGTTCCCATAACAGAAGGTGAAACCCTTAACAACAGGCATAAAGAGTCTCAAAGGACCTCATCCTCAAAATGGTCTCGCTCTCACAGCCTGGTTTTGCTTTGCTCAGATCTGCACATCCCAGTGTCAAGGTCAAGATAGAAAAGAAGCCACAGAGAGCTTTGTCTAGAAGGTGAAAGGCGAAAGGCGAAAGGCGAAAGGCGAAAGGCGAAAGAGTGCGGGCTGGTAGCACCAGGACTTGATGAGCCTGGTGGTCTGTAACTGCAAGAAAGAAAGCAGGTCCTGGTAGGCAGCCAGCTAGCTGAGGGTCCCGTGGTTACACTTTTAATTCCATCAGAAGGAGGAGAACAGAGAGGGAAAGTTTTAGGTGAAAGTCATGGGGTAGGAGAAAGAGGGAAGCCTTACTATGGGTAGAGATTAGGGAAACAGGACCACTGACAAGCCCCATGCTACCCATAGGCCCATTGCAAACCATTACTGGACCCTTTCCAGGGAGATTTCAGCCCCTGATTTTTTTTTTTCATTTCTCCTATATTTCTGTAGGAACAGCAGTGGGATTGTTTTTCCTTCACAAAGCAGAAACAAAACAATAGCAACAAAAAGTCCAAGCACATTGGTTTCCCTAATCAGCCTTTTCTGGAATGTGGTGTGGAAAATCAGTCTCCCAGAAACCAGTTCCAGTCCTCAGCAGACATGCAGAAAGTTGCCCTTGAGAGAGGCGTCCTAAGGCACCCCACAATGAAGATGTTCTACAGAGGGCAAGGGAGAAAAACCTTGGGGTGTATCTTAGTTATGGTTTTCATTGCTGTGAAGAGACACAATGATAGCGGCAACTCTTATAAAGAAAGCATTTAATTGAGGTGGCTCATTTACAATTTCAAAGGTTCAGTCTGTTATCATCAGTCATGGTAGGGAACATGCAAGCAGACATGGTGCTGGCTTGGGTTATAGGAAACAGCAAGGTGCTCTCAGCTAGCCATAAGAGGAGAGACACTCATGGTGGGGGCAGGAGTGAATTGCTCAGTGTGATGATTAGGGCTAACCACTCAACATAATCTAGGATCACCTGGAGATGGTCCTCAGGATCTGCTCATGGAGGATTATCTTGATTATTGTTGTGGAATATTTGTACACTCTGTGAAGATGCATTGCTGTGACTGGTTTAATAAAGAACTGAATGGCCAATAGCTAGGCAGGAGAGGACAGGAGGGATCTCCAGGAAGAGAGAGGAAGAGGAAGAGAAACCGAGGCATGCAGATTTCACCAGTAGACTTGAAGCAAGTTGTTGTGCCATACTGAGGAAAGATAAAATCTACATGGCAGAAAGTAGATTAATAGAAGCAGGTTAATTTGAGTTATAAGAGCTAGTTGGAGATTATCTATCTAACTGAAATATCTCTGTACATCTAGAAAACCTAGCATAACTGCAAGTTTGACTATTATAAATGACTTCATTAATCCATAATTCTAATTATACATTTTTAAATGAGCTGTATAAACATAATACCTTAAACAAGAGTAGAAATATACAAATACACAATGTAACAAAATCGACCTTAGATTTATATTAATAGACCAAGATCCATACTAATGTCAAATATTCATCTCTGTAAATCATATCCCCCTTTAAATGAAAACAAACATCTATAAACAAACATTTTGGGAATTTGGGCATCTTTTTCCAAATTTCTTCCTGCTGTTTGTTGGGTCGAAGTACTTTTAGGGTTCATGGAGATCTTTTGAGGGGTTTTGTTCCACCAAACTACTTAGCCTGGAAGGAATCCACAGCTTCTCATCTTCTGTGGAAACAAAAGCAAAACCTCTTTTCCAAAGTAACATACCCTTAGACTCAAATTTTGAAGTCAAGATACCTTTAAAATATATATGTAGGTTTAGCTTTGCAGCCCCCACAATTAAATATATCTTTGTAGTTAGGTCATTGACAGTCAAAAAATTTAAAGAAATCACAATAATTACATAATCCAAACTCTGTGTGTATATTCTATCTTTATGTGACTTATTTTTAAGCTCTATTACTTTTTAATATTTATTCATTGTCTTTACTCCTTTAATCAATGACTGTCTGTACTCTTTTCTATACTCTTTTTCCTCTGCCTCCCAAACTTGTATACATTTTGTAAACACACTGCGATCCATTCAGAGGTTTATTTTTAACATTTAGAAAACCTACAGAATATGACATTTAAAATATTTTAAGAATTTAGACTTTTCTCAACAGTGAGACATGTCTGCTTCTGGCAGCACCAGTTGCTTCAGAGAAGTTGATGGGACTCAAAGAAACTTAGTATGGAATTTGCTTCATTATGGCAAGGCTAGCTATTTGGGCAAGTCCTTGCATGGACTGCTTGATGGCATGTTATGTGAACCGGACATGCAGGACCCACAGAAAAGTGACTGCTGAACTTGCCTAAAGAAGGTGGAACAGTCCTTCAGTGTTCCTGCTTCACAGAAGAAACTGCCAGACATTCTTCAGGACACAGAAGAAAGTAACTGAAAACTTCGCCAGTACAAGGCAAAACAAATCTTCAAATTTTCTGCTTCATGGAAAAGTCTGCCAGATACTATGGGCCTGTAGGCTGAAGATGGATGCCTCAATGGTACAGAAGAACTTTGAGTGACTTTCCAGGCAGCGAGATGTCTCTGTCAATTCTAGAGCTTTGAAAGTTGCTTACAATGTACTTCCTGTTTACTTAGGTAATATTATGTCCTTCTGGGATTTTTGAAGAGTTGAAGGCAGATAATTATAGTTTTCCTTAGT